AAAAATCATGTTTTCCAAAAAAAATCAAACACCCATTATATATGCCAAAATCAATTATGAACAGAAAATCATAGTTTTCTTAACAATATTCAAACACTCTTATACATGCCAAAATCAATTATCAACTCAAAACTATGGTTATATGATGAGGTACTATCACTTGTGTGAACACCGTATTTTATCTCAATATTTTTTAAATTTAATAATAAATAATTAAAAAATATAAAAAAATTTAATCCTTTTTAGTATTATATTTTCAAAACAAAAAAATTAAATTAATTGATAGGGCTTCATTTTATTTTAGATAATCTTTTTAGTTAGGATTTTATTTCTTTTAGTTCATTAAAATAATTAAAAAAATATAAAAATATAAAAATAAAATTTAATCTTTTTTAGGATTATATTTAAAAAAAATAATTTTAACAAAATCAAAAAAAAATCTTGATTAAATCTTTTAAAATCTCTCCTAAATTATCACAACCATTCAAAATATTGGGAATCAATTTTTTTGAGACTCAACTATTTTTAAATTTTCTTTCCTTAAATATTTTTGTTTTCCATTTAAATAAATAAATATATATATATATTTTTAAAATTAGACTTTTCTTCCTCTCCCTTAATCTAATTAATAATAAAAAAAGAAGAAAAAAATAGCATTAAAACAAAGAATGGCTGAAAAAAGGGACATGCATGTATGAAGCTTGAGCACAGAGCAAGCAAACACAGTAGTAGACCAGGGAGAAGCAAACGTGCACAATGAAGACATGAATACCAGATGCTATAGAAAGAAAAGGAAAGGAAGCAGACGCATGCAGGAAAAGATAGAACAAAAAAAAAGGAAGGAAGCACACACACAGAGCCAAAAGACTCAAACCTTTTTGGCAAGATCAGAGGAGACGTGATAGAACAAAAAAAAGGGAAGCACAAACACACAGCCACAGTTGGATGAGAGAAGTACTTGAAAAAGGCAGAGCTTGCCAGACACGTGAAAGAACAAAGAGCAGAGCATGTTTTTGGCCACACAAAAGGTAAGTTGTTTTGTTTTTCCTTCTTTTGGTTTTAAATATACGAGAAGGCACGAGAGACCGAGGAAAGGAGAGCTGATTTTGGGCAAAGAGATTTTTTTCTTCTAAAGAGAGGGAGAGACATAAAAAAATAGAGATGAAGAAGAGAAAGAGAGAAGACAAAAAGTGGTCAAGAAACAGAGAGAAAAGAAAAGAGAGACCAAAAGAAGAGGGAAGCATGCGTACACATGCATGAGGCCTTAGAGCAGAAGAGGCCAAGATCAGAAGAGAGACTGAGAATGATGAAGAAAATAGCACGAGAAGCTTAGACAGAGATAGAGATCACGATGAGCAGAGACGAAGAAGGACTGGAGACGAAGAGAAGAGGGAAGAGATCGAGAAGGTGAGGAGAGTCTGGAGAAAAAAAACAAGGAGGACGAGCAAGATGGAGAAGAGACGGGGAAAAAGAAGAGAGAGACCAAGAGGGAGAAACAAGGAAAGAAAAACAAAGCATCAAAACACAGCACGCATGCAACTTTTTATACACTAAGTGACACCGAGAGAGAGAGCAGTGACCGAGTGTAAGAGATGGAGATAGAGGAATGAGAAACAGAGCAGAAAAAAAGGAAAGGGAGAGATTGAAAAAATGAACGAGAAATAGAGCAGAAAAAGAGGAGAGGGAGAGACTGAAAACTGGACAGCAAAAAAAGAGTACTAAGGATCACACATCATAGATGAAGAACAAAGAAAGAAAAGAACAAAAAGGAAATGAAAAAAAGGGCTAGACATGCATGAAAAAAAAGAGAGAGGAGGGTGGCTTCAGTGATGAAAAGAGCTAACCGAAAGAGAAAAAGAGAGGACCCATGATTTTGGCTTAGGATTTTTGAGGTGGAAATGAACTGAGAGAAGAAGATGAAAATGATGAAGAAGGAGGAGGAGAGAGAAGCTAATGGATCAGATGGAAGGTGAAGATGAAAGATGATGACCTGGAGAGTAATGGCTCAGTATTAAACAGGTAATAATTTTGCTTGTTCATTCTTCAAAGCTTAATTTGTGGGATTAATAGAGTAATTAGGAAATTTCAAAATTTGTATAGATCACATGATTTATTTTGTGTGGCATTGTACCAAGTTATGCATTTTGGGATTCTCCTTGTCTTTTTGCATGTTTTAGTCTATCATTGAAATTATTTCTGACTGTAAGCTTCACAATTATTTGTTGGTTGTAAAATTCTTAATAAAGAATATTTAAGTCTATTTGCAGTGTGAGATTTCAAAAATTCCTGCAAACATTTAAATTTAAAATAATCATATATCGTGAAAATTAATAAGATTTTGCAGGTATGAGGATTAATATTGTAAAATAATATGGGTTCCAAAGACTCATCATCAAAATTAATTATAATTAATAAAATATTTAAGTCTCATGAAAGATTCCAAGAATCTTCGTAAGGACTTAAATTAATTACATTATCGTGTGGGATAATAAATCCTCCCAGATAAAGTGATTCTTAATTTTTATGACAAATAAATGATTTTTGTAAATAATAATATAATACACAATTTAAAAAAATTAATTAGTCAACTTAATGTATTTAAATGGTAATCATATTTACCGATTATATCTTTTAGTCATGTAAAATTTTTAAATCTTCATAAATTTTTAAGATAATCATATTATTGTATGAGTCAATAAGATTTTTCAGATATAACAATTAAGTTTTTTTAAAATATATATATATATATATATAAATTATACACTCAAAAATATAAATAAATTTAATTTTTTTATCATGAGAGATTTTGAAATCTCCACAGATATTTAGAATGATTGCATTATTGTATGAGTTAATAAGGTTCTGCAGGAATTGAGATTAAATTCTCCATCATAAAACATAAAAAAATAATTTTAAACCCTTTTCTTTTCCAAAAATTTAAAAAATTGAGAAAATAATTAAAATTAAATTATTTTTTGTAAGTTAGAACACACATATCAAGATTTTAGAAATTATTTTATTTACAAATTGATGAATTATTTCTAATTAATTTTTCTTCAAAAAAATATTTTTACTAACAACTTTCAAGCCCGAACTACGTGAACTTTGATCCTTATCACAGGGTACGTAGGCCTCAGAGGTAGATTCTAAGTCAAGTCCTCCCCATAAATAAATAAATATTTCTCACTTAACTCTTATCATTTTTATGTCAAACACATGAATATAAAAAGAATAATTAAAATAATTTTAAAATCATATTAATATAGCACAACAAACTTTACGTAATCATTCTCACGAACGAGTGTTGTGAGATATCTAACACTTTCCCCACACTCAACCGACTCCTGAACCTATTCTTTAATTTCACATACTATCCTTATCTATCTTTAAACAGTTTTTCGAGATTTTCCTTAAAATCTTGGTGGCGACTCCCATTTCCTCAGTCTTCCTTTCAAAGGTCGGAACTTTCACTCTCGCGTCGTCCGCGTCACATTTCCAGGTGCAACAACTTGTTTTTCAATTCATATTTTCAATCTTACTTTTCTAAAAATTTATTTAAAAATCATATAAATTATTTTACAAATCATGGACATGTTTGACCACCTGTTATGAAAAAAAAATTTATTCTTCAGAACAACAACATAAAAAGATCTATTTAGTAACATATTTTTAAAAAACTATTTTGGAGAACAAAAAATAAAATATTGTTTTAAAGAATAGAAAAATAAAAACATTTTTTAAATGTTTGGGGATTATTATTTTAAAGAATAAAAGAGAATAAGAAAAACATCTAGTTTTATTATTTTTTTAAAACATATTCTACAAAATATCAGTTCTTAAAATAATAAAATAAAAATAATTTTAAACAAGTCCCACATTTTTGAGTTTATAATTGATTTTAATATATATAAAGGTGTTTGAATATTTTTTAAAAAATATGGTTTTGGGTTTAAAACTGATTTTGGCATGTGTAATTAATGCTTGAATATTTAAAAATAAAACATGATTTTAGGTGTATAATTAGTTTTAATTTAATATGGCATAGGTGTGTTTTGTTATATTTTCACAAAAATTCATAATTTTAATCATTGAACTTGATCAATAAGATTATCCAAATTGGTATAAGCATTGATCAGCGTGAATACAGAGAAAGGACTCCTTATCCTTCGGTCCACTCTCTCATCAAAAACTGTCAACTCACTCCTATAATCATCATCGAGGAATACGGGTCTGAATGCTCTCAGCGTCCCTCAGCGTCTCAATTTTGGCCCTTGGATCTGTGCACAATATTTCATACTTTGCCACACCATCCTATATTAAAACAATTTAATTTAAAAAATAATTCTTTCTTTAAATGTTTTTTCCATTTTTTATTTTTAAAACTTATTTTAAAAAATTACTCTGTATATTTTTGTGCAGGACCTACAGTGTAAGTTATTTAAATTCTAGCTTAACATATTTAATAAAAAATCTGCAGAGTAAGCCTATAGTATTTAAATTTTAACCTGATTTATTTAAGCAGAGAGCTACAGTTTAATTTTTTCAAGCTCTGGCCTGACCTACATAATAAAAATATGCCTAAAAAATTTAAAAAATTTTTAGAACAAAGTCAAGCCAAAATTTAAATGCTTATTTTGTAGGTTTTTTTAAATAATTTTTTATTAAATAGATTAGGTCAGAATTTAAATAAGCCAGTAAGTTTTTTTAAAAAAATCTGTAAAATAAATTTTTAGAATAAGTTTTGAAATTAGAAAATAAAAAAATCTAAAGGAAAAAATTATTTTTGAAAAAATTAAATTATTTTAATATAAAATGATGAGGTAAGATATGAAATATTGGATTACAGATCTAAGGGGCAAAACTGAGACGCTGAGGGACGCTGTGAAACAAGGCCGCTGAGAGGATCCACATCTCGAAGAAGACAGCGATTGTTGACTTGCGGTAATCCTACTTTGCTTGGGAGAGATTATATTTCTCTGATTCGTTATAGCATGCTTTTCCAGTACTTGTTATCAGTTGGGTGAACCTCTTTACCTTCCATTACGGCTGGCATATGTGAAATATTTTCCAACTCGCGAAGAATTTGAAAGTACTGGGAAACTAATCTCAGTTCTCTAGACGATGGATGATCAAGTGCTAGTTTATTTTAACGGAAAAGAAACATATTCCAAACGATTTTGGTGTATGATGCATTAGGAATAGTACTAGTCATGGCCATGAAAGATGAGGATGGGGAATTTCATTTTCACATCATACTATCTCGTCTGTTCACTTGAGGAATTTGCTGAATTATGAACACGAGCTGATATCAGGTGCCAAACCTTTTTTTTTTTTTTTTTTTTTTTTTGTAAATGTGGGTTTTGGTTTTCGCAAGAGTATTTATGATCTTAAGTCCATTATTTTCTTAATAAGCCAGTAGTTTCTATTGACTTGTTTAAAAGTGCCTGCTCAATTTATATGCTTGCTTTTAAAGCTTGATTTCATTTAATTGGTCAAATTTCGGTACCTTCTCTGATTTGGATTGAATAGGTTCGATCATTGGAAATCTCCTCAAGGTGCAGACCCTACTATGGATACACATGATTGGAGGGCTCAGCTGCTGCCTCATATTCGCCAAATAAAAGTCAATGAAATGTAGGCCCAAATTCTCCATTTAACTAATAAGATGATCTGTTTGCTCCAAAAAAATATCATAATAAGATGATCTGAGTAGTATCTGCTTCCACCTGTCAATTCTGTTAACTATCAACGTTATCATAACATTCCCCTTGTTTGTTATGGAGGATTAAATTTATTTCATCGCTAAACAATAACATATATCAATTTAATCACGGAACATATATCATTATCCACGGGTAAGGAGCTATCGTGGGAATTAACTAGGAATTTGGAACATTTCTCGTTTAGTCTTTTTAGTGGATTTGGGAGAAGGAAGAAGCTTATGATTCTCAGGTGCCAGGATGATGACTCAAGTCTTTCACAGCCTACTCCAGATGATAGTCTGTTTTCCTAGCATTTCTTTTCCCAGAAAAAAAAAATGAAGGGGCTGGACTTTTACATAATGATCATGCTTTTTCAGTTAAGCATTGTTTTTCCTCAACATCTTGATGCCATATTTTTGTAAAGCCATTCTTCATTTTGTAGAATGATTAAATTAAAGACGCCTATGTCTCATGCTGATGATGATGAATTGATTGAAGTTCAAAAAATTGCTCAAAGTTTTGAGCAGAAGACTTTTGCTGGTGCAGCAAACGAGGTACACCAATACTGTGTAATCTCTGTTATTTCAATAATTTATGTTCATCCATGCGGATGGATGAATCTTGGATGGATATGGGGGGTGTTTCTTCCTCCTAGCTTTGGAATTTTCATGTCATTGCTTGTAACTTCTGTCCCTCACTCCATACCTCCAAACGTAAAACACTGTTTTAACAGGTTCATTTTTTAGCAGTGGGCCACTTTTTTACCCTGTCATGATTTCTGTGGTGCTAATTTCTCATATTTCCTAATTCCAGGAGGATTATTTACAGAGAATATCTTCAATGATGCAGTTAATTGATAGTTATCATAATCGTAAGTCCCAGAACATCAAGATCAATATTATGCCATCAGATTCATTTACTGACCCACTTTAGCTTCTGGAAGATTTTAACTCTTAAGACCTCTCAACACAATGTATCGGATGAATGCTTTTAGGGTTTACTCAGACAGTATGCTTAGTTATTCAGCCATTTTTTTCTCTAACACAATATTCAACTTGCTGGTAAGTTATATGATATTTTCCATTAATTTTAATCTCAAACAATATCATATGTCTTTAATTTGAATATCATCCAAATTTTGTACATCTGCAATGTAATTTTTTCTTTGACAGAAGTGCTTTTCTGTTATAATAACTTATTACAGTTTTGATTTGATATATAGTTTAATTGTATCCATAGTGAATCTATAATATCTATTTATGTTATTTTTATTGTCTTATGCGCATGTAACTATGCTACTGATGTCTTTTCATCTCCAGTCAGATTGGATTTATATAATCTGTTATTAATAACTCTATGTAAAATTTTGAGTATAAGTAATTGGACGCTTGCTCATGTTGGATACTCTTTCACAGTTTGGAGGGCTCAGCTGCAACCTGATAGTCGTGAAAGAATCATCAACAACATGTATATATATTTATTTTTTTTGTTGATTTACTTTGGTCATATGGCATGGTGGGGAAAAAATCATATACCCTGCTTTGTTAGAGTTCCATCGTCTGTCACGAGGAATTATAATTAGACAAATCATTCTCTTTTGATATTCTTTACTTCTCACCGGGGGAAAAAATGTTCTTGTTGTGTAGCAATTCCTCAATAACTTATTCAAGGTCAACATTACACATTTATTGGCCAGGTGATTGCAGTTAAAGTCTAGCTGACAAATGTGACATTAGAGTTTGTCAATCTTGATTTTTTTTAATTTAATATTGTTTAGGGTCCCTACACAGGGGCCCTTTGAGTGGGATATTTAGGTGGTTACTTATTATGCTTATAAGTTTGTGTTTTTCAGTTATATTGTCCTTTTGGTTTGGTTTATTTAGAGGATTATCTTATTGTATGCTTTTGTATTGTGGAGAGGAAAGCATTTTTTAAGATGCAAAAGAGATCATCTCTTCCAATTAGGATATTCATTTTATACCATCCATGTATAGCTCAACTGAGCTTGATGAGTCCATGCTATGGCTTTTGTTGTTTTTATGGTCTTTTGAATATGAAATTACACATGAAAGCATATATTTGTAGAAAGGGGAAATGATATTTGATTCTGTCATCATCCATATTTCTATTGAACAACTAAATTCTGTGAATCTTTATCTTTATATATTGTAATTGCTTTCTAAATGGTACTGTAGTTCTACAGTACCATTTTGACAACAACAACAACAACAACAACAAGCCTTTATCCCACTAGGTGGGGTCGGCTACATGGATTGCAAGACGCCATTGTGCTCTATCATTTATTAAGCTTTTAGAAATATTATTAATTAAGAGATCACGTTCAACAACTTCCAAGAGTGTTCTCTTAGGCCTTCCTCTACCTCTCTTAATCGGACTCAAAGTTATATGTTCCACTCTTCTCACTGGTGCCTCCCTTGGTCTTCTTTGTACATGCCCAAACCATCTCAACCGATTTTCTACCATTTTTTCCTCAATAGGTGCCACCCTCACTTTTTCACGTATGTGCTCATTTCGAATTTTATCTTTACGTGTATGTCCGCACATCCATCGTAACATTCTCATCTCTGCTACTCCAACTTTATGCTCTTGCTGTCCCGTTAGAGCCCAGCATTCACTACTATATAACATTGCCGGTCTGATAGCAGTACGATAAAACTTTCCTTTAAGTTTATTAGGCACCTTACGGTCACAAATAACTCCTTTAGCTTTTCTCCAATTAAACCACCCAGCTTGAATTCTATGTGAAATATCTCCACTGATTTCGCCATCATTTTGGATAATGGCTCCCAAATATCTAAACTTTTCCACTTGAGGTATAATTTGATCTCCCAATTTCACTTCCAAATTATTTTCGAATAGTCCTTTATCAAATTTACAATATAAATATTCCGTCTTACTTCTACTCAGACGAAAACCTTTCGACTCCAATGTCCTCCTCCATAACTCAAGTTTGCAATTAACCTCTTCTCTTGTCTCTGCTATAAGAACTATATCATCCGCGAAGAGCATACATTTCGGGATTTCCTCTTGAATATGTTCCGTCAAAACATTTAAAATCAAGTTGAACAAATAAGGACTCAGAGATGATCCCTGATGTAGCCCAATCTTTATAGGAAAATCCTTTGTTTGACCACTAGGCGTTCTTATACTAGTTTTTACCCCCTCATACATATCTTGTATGGCTTTAATATAAGCAATCCGTACTCCCTTTTTTTCCAACGCTTTCCAAAGCACTTCTCTTGGTATACGGTCATAAGCTTTTTCCAAATCAATAAAAACCATGTGTAGATCTTTATCTTTACAACGATACTTTTCCATTAATCCCCTTAGTAGATAAATCGCCTCTGTAGTTGATCTACCTGGCATAAAACCAAATTGATTCTCAGAAATACTTGTCTCCAATCTCAACCTGTGCTCAATTACTTTCTCCCACAATTTCATTGTGTGGCTCATGAGTTTAATCCCTCTATAGTTAGTACAATTCTGAATATCTCCTTTATTTTTATAAATAGGAATTAATGTACTTCTCCTCCACTCATCAGGCATTTTCTTGGACCGTAAAATCACATTAAATAACTTAGTTAACCATCTCACCCCTTCTTCACCTAAACATTTCCACGCTTCGATAGATATACAATCAGGTCCGTTAGCTCTACCATTTGCCATTTTCTTAAGAGCTTCCTTTACCTCCTTATCACGTATTTTTCGATAGAATGACAAATTTTGTTCTCCTTCACCAGTTACTAAATCCTCCAAGTTACTAGATGAATCCTCTCCATCATTGAAAAGTTTAGAAAAATAAGTCTCCCATCTATTTTTAATTTCATCATCTGTAACTAAAATTCTTCCCTCTTCATCCTTAATACACCTTACCTGTTCTAGATCTCTTGATTTTCTTTCCCTACTCTTGGCAATCTTATAAATATTTTGCTCTCCTTCCTTCGTCTCAAGGTTCTTATAAAATTCTTCAAAAGCTTTAGAACGAGCTTCACCCACAGCTCTCTTAGTTTCCTTCTTAGCCATACGGTACCTCTCCCAATTTTCCTCATTGTTACACAAATGTATGGCTTTAAAACAGTTCTTCTTATACTTGATTTTGTCCTGTACACTATTATTCCACCACCAAGACTCCTTATCTCTCGGACCAGGACCTTTCGATTCTCCCAAAACTACTTTTGCAACCTCCCGTATCTTTTTAGCCATATCCTCCCATATGATGTTAGCACTTCCCTGAGAATCCCAAATTCCTTTATCCAAAAGATTTCGCTTGAAAATATCTTGCTTCTCACCTTTTAATTGCCACCACCTAATCCTTGGTGTTACTACTTGTCGACGTTTTTGGATTTTACTCATAATACACACATCAAGGACTAGGACCCTATGTTGTGTCGTTACAGCATCTCCAGGGATCACCTTACAATTTTTACAAAGTTTTCTATCTGTGTTCCTAACCAAAAGAAAATCAATCTGCGACCTTGAGGTTCCACTTTTGTAGGTGATGAGATGCTCATCTCTCTTCTTGAAACAAGTGTTGGCAATCTTAAAATCATACGCCAATGAGAAATCAAGAAGAGTTTGCCCTTCATTGTTTAGCTCTCCAAAACCAAAACCACCATGCACCCTCGCATACTGACCAGCTTCCCTCCCGACATGCCCATTAAAGTCTCCTCCAATAAAAATCTTTTCACTCTGTGGTATGTGTCGAATCAACCCCTCCAGATCCTCCCAAAATAATTCCTTAAGACTGGCTTCTGTCCCGACTTGCGGCGCATAAGCGCTAACAATATTAACAGTCTCACGTCCAATTATCATTTTTAAAGAAATAATTCTGTCTCCAATTCTGCTAACTTCTACAACGTTCTTCTTCCACTCCTTATCTATAATGATGCCTACTCCATTGCGTGCACTTACTTTTCCTGTATACCAAAGTTTGAAACCTTGAATATCCTTAGCTTCTTCTCCACGCCATTTTGTTTCTTGCAAGCAAAGGATATTGATTTTCCTTTGAATCATAACCCCTACAACCTCTACAGATTTACAATTTAATGTCCCAACATTCCAAGTACCAAATCTAATTTTGCTCTTATGGACTAACTTCTTTAGCCGCGTGCGTCCAGAATGACGCGGTAGCCCTTGCTCATTTAACACTACATCCGGGCGCCGATGCAGCGGCTCTAACTCACTTATCACTGTACTCGAGCCATGCAGCGCGTTACTTACGGGCAACGACCTAGCATTAACATTTTTTTAAAAAAATTTACGTAGTTAGGAGAAGTGGGAGTTGTGGGGTGTACATTAAAAATATGTAGGTGTGGGTCATGTGGGCCATACTAAAGAAATGAACATACAAAATTTTTTAATATGTACCCCTTCCGAATTATACATATGGCATTTTTTAAAGGGTTACTTGATCTGAAAATTAAAGCTTCAATATATTTTATATTTTTTTTTCAGTTATACCCTTATTTTACGCTCACTCTGATCCCTATTATGGGGCTCCTTTTAGAAGAATTTGTTAGTTTTTAGCATAAGGTACTTGATGAGGTATTAATTATATTTTTATAATATTACCCTAATTTCAACTCATTAACTATGAGAGAAGATGTAATGCAAATTTAAAAAAAAAAAATTCATTTAAAATTTTATAGCACTTATGTCTATCTTTTCTTTTTTTTCTTTAATCCAAGTCATTAAAACATCTCCATTCTATTCACATTCATTTCTCTCAAATCAAGGAGAGAATTAATGTCCTGTCCATCGCATGGCGTAATATCTAGTTTCTTTTGGAAAATGTGAAGGGCATGAACGGTGCCTTGCGATCATGCTTGTTATTTGGAGGACTGTCTGAAGCTATATGCTTCCCTATGAGTTATAGTAATTAAACTGGTGTTATTCACCTTATAGATTGGAAACATTAAGAAGACATCTTCCTGTTTCTGGCCAAGATGGATTAGATGAACTTCGTAAAATTGCTGCAAGATTTGAGGAGAAGGTTTATAATGCAGCAACAAGTCAGGTAGAGTCATCACAGTTCTAAGGAGTTGAATTATGATATTTTGTCTTGTACAATATCATGGATTGCCATGATTTCTTGCATCTCATGCATTTCCTAATTTCAGTCTGATTATCGTCGGAAAATATCCTTGAAGATGCTGACAATGGAAGCTAAATGCCAGAACACCATAGCAAACCCACACCCTATGCCATCAAACTTCGGTGACAACAGGGATGGTCCTTAAGATACAGGTATTGTCATTCAAAGGCTTTGCTGCAGATAACATATGCAAAGTGATAAACTGATAGTACTTTGATCTGTATGCTCTAAGATTGTCTTGAAAGGATACACATTTTTTTAATGTTATTTGTGGTAAAAAGTAAATCAAGTTTTTTCGTTGGCGAATAGGTTCTGCTTGGGAGGTTCAAGTGCTAGAAAGGGAGGTGATATGATCAGAGGGAGAAAGAGAAATGCTTGAGTAAGACAATGTGTAATAAAAAGGAAGCAACCACAGTGACTAATTGACTTTGTCATCTATTGATAGCTCTTTTGTTATGATACTCATTTCCTCAAACCATTGCAAATGATGCGGACTAAATGTTTGTGATGACAATATGTTATTTGGATTCAAGTGTTCTGTATCTGTAGTGTATGGTTATGCAATATTGTCTTATAAGGCCTCTGGCGTAACGTGAAGGAATGTGCTCGAAGAAGATTTGGAGTGACTTCTCTGGACCCAGAAAGAAAGTTTTTTTTTTTTTTTTTTTTAATTCCAGAAAGAATTTTGTTGTGCTGATGTTTTCCTTCTCAACTTTGAACTTTTTAACCACCCCTGTCAAGCTGGAATAAATAGGGGTGAAAAAAAGCCTCTATCAAGCATAAATGATGCCAATGGCCTTTTAACCTAGTAGTATGAAAGTTTTTTTCGGTAAATGAGACGTTGTGTGTTCAGTCTCACTTGTAAACTCAAATTATTAGTACCTATTCTTTTAATTAAAAAAAAAAAAGCATAAACAAGGACAGAATGAAGTCATATTTATTATAGATTATTGATTTTTATGCAAAGGATTGTTTGGATATTAAAGAAACCATGAGTTTTTATTCATAATTGATTTTAGTATGTATGATGAGTGTTCATATGTTTTTAAGAAGAATATAAATCCTCTAAAATTGATATTAATGAATTTGTGTGAAGTTTTTCTTTTTTTTTCTTTTGGTATTTTCTCTCATTTTTTTATAAGACATAAAATCTTCTCTCTCATTTTTTAAAATGTAAACTTCATGAAATTTAATCTTAAAGGATGCATTCATTTTTTTAAATAATGATTTTGATTGTATTTAAATATATTTTTATAATATTATGGTTTTGTCTAACTTTTAATGTCACAAACATATAATCAATTATATTTAAAATTATTTTGATAGTATTAAAATTGGCAGTTAAAACTGCTTTGCAATGAGTAATAATAAATCGGTCGAACCGAAAAGGCGGTGGGGACACGTCGTCATTTCGTGCCTATGTGGCTCTGCAAGTATTACCTCGCGGCTTCCCTCTCAAGTCTCATCCCTCACTCTACCAGTCGCTCGGGCTCTCGCCCTCCGTTCGCTCGGCGCTTCAATCATCAGAAAAGCTCCGTCGACTTCTTTTCTGAGAAGAGTATACAAGACATCCAATAGTATTTTGAGTGAGCTCATCGCTTTCCACTAAATATTTGTTAGTTTTTTCCCTCCTAATGTAGATAATGAATACATGATCAAGTTTGAGCCGCTGGAAGACCATAAGATTTTACTCCGTCTTGATATGTAGTACGGCCATAATGGCCCTGACCTTTGATCTTTTGGTTTCTTTCAGCCTTTTGCCTTCCTATTGTATTCAGAAAAGGAAAGGGGAAAAAATATTTGTCATCTTATTTTATGAAAGAAAGGATTTTGAAAGGGTTTTATAGGAGTGCTCGATTTTGAATAGAGGAAAGGTATTGAAGATGTAATTTGCTAAAATATAGTAAATTTTTGAAGGCCAGCATATTTTGATAGAAATGTTTGGGTCCATAACATCTAAGCCGTACCTCTACTGTCTATTAATTTCAATAACAAACTATTCCCTCCACTCACAGTCATACGTCACTCTCTAGATGTAATTGATGATCTTTTTTATGGATCATTCTTTGTTAAGAAAAAAAATGAGGATTATTTATTACTTTCTTCTAATTTTATCCTTTTATAATTTTCTCTGAGTAGATTAAAAGGTTCTATATGAGAAACAACATGATTTTAAAGATGATGTGGTAATAAGGATAAATTAAGAATTTTTTTCTTTTTCAAATAATATTGATAATTTAAATACCTCACCCAACTAAGGACCGAGGGGACTATTTTATAATTGATTTTTTTTACCAAACTATTTTATAATTGATTCGACTGCATTCAAAATTTTTAGCCTTGGTGTTTTTAGGATGTGAAGATAAAACGTGTAATTGATTCTTGATGACTGGCTTGGTTTAGTGGCAATGGATATATGCATGATAGTAATTTCCAATTTTCTGTCGATTGCCTTTGTATTGACATATCTACACGTGCCATCCCCTTTTATATTTTTCTTTATACATGTCTGACTTGATTTAATTGAACTAGTTTTGTGATTTGAGTAAATTTATATTGATAGGTGCCAATAATTGGAGACTTGCACTAGGTGGAACGCTAACTATGGATCAAATTGATTGAAGAAATGAATTATAGCCTCACTCCCGCAGAAGATCTGTTAAACAAATGTAGGCCTAATTCTCTTTTTGTATTACTTTGATAATCTCAAAAGCTTTTGCTTTGGTTCTGTAGTTGCTGTAAAATGGAAATGCTGCCATCAAACAGCCCATGTGTATTTTGTAAAATTAATCTAATAGTAAAATGTTCATTATTGGTGAAGGAGCTATAGCAGATTGGTGATGTCATTGTACACAATTCGATAACTTATAATGCTATTGGTTATGTATTTTTTATGTATCTTTTAAAATAAAAGTTGAAAGAAAAGAGAAAATTGAAGTTGCATATTAGTAACGTATTTTCATTTCAGGCATAGTTATTAATAGCACTATAGTAGCTCATTGCAATGGAACCTGGTGCTTGACCACTTGTCTTGCACGGCAACTTTCATATAGCTCTTATGTTGCTATGCTATATGAGCTACTTTGAGTTGCTGTAATTCTATAATGCAATATAACCATTTTGATGGAGATGAATTGCAAAAGTTTGCCCATTGTAACGAGCAGAAGATTTTTGCTATGTTCATATTTTGAATCTTGAAATTATCATTATCATTAATGTCACCTATGTAGACAAATTGAATGTAGAAGACTCAAGGTGTAATGAGGTATCCCTTTGTTATGTTTCTGTATTGTATTAATCGGTTTTCACTTCATAGATTTCCTTAAACTCATTTCTTTTATTTTTCCAATTTCAGTTGGATTATTTGCAGCAAATAAGAACGAAGGCAATTTCAATGCATAGTAAGTCTCTAAATTTGATTGTCAAGTATATGGCACCAAATTCAGTTATTAGCCTATTTCAGATTTTACTTATTGGAGGTTTTCTTTATTTGTAAGACGTCTGTAATTAATTTTTTCTGTTGGTGCAAACAGACTGTTAATGACACAACCTTCTCTTTCATGAAATTCTTGTTATTGATTTGACTTTCAGTATTTGACACATGGAATCAGCTTTTTTATTTTCAATTAATTGTAGTGAAAGTCAATTATGTGCACTATATTATTGATTCAAATGGCTTGTTAAGTGATAAATGTGTAATTATGCTTGTGCGATGTGTTGTTAATTCGAGTTGTTGATTCCTATTCCCTTAACAAACAGAGATTTACTTTTCAGCCTGTAACTTTTTGGGTAACTTATATTTATTGAAAGAAAAAATTTATATACTTAACCTTATATACTTAAAATACTTGTTTTCAATTGAATTAAGACATGTGAATTTTTTATAGATTATTTATTCTATAACAAACTCTTATTATTAATATTATATGTTAACATATTAAAATCTACTTGTTTTGATTTGATTGAAGTTCTATAGTGAGAAGCTTTGATTTTGCTATATTTCATAATTCATAAATTTATTTTTAGCAGTCGGTAGAACAATATCTCTGTGAGTTTCTTACAATTGCCTTATCTGTTCTATTTCCTTTTAAATAAGTAAATAATGAGTGATGTTCTACTTTATTTATTTGAGCGATTTATGCTCATATATGTTTGAAATAGTATCTGTTACAGGAAAAATGCAAGAAGAATTCTTCCAAAAGGTAAATATCCCATTTCTTATCACTTCTATTTCCTCATTAAATTTGCCAGAACAACAGAAAATAGTGAGATAAACCCAAAAGTAAGTATTTAAGAGCCCCTTGGTTGTTGTTGAGGAAAATTATGGACATTATACAAAATCGACATCTAACAATGTTAAATTATAATGGCGTGTTCAATCATTTGCAATCTTGACATACTCTGTAGTGAAAGAGAGCTAATTGCAGGGTTTGAATGTTTTGATTTTATGGTTGTGTTTATTACAACTTATAGATGCAAATGTGGAAGGAAACATACTTGCCAGATTTGAAGGAAATGCACCAGATACTTGCATGTGGACTTCAGCAGGTACGTTAGGTACATGTTTTTTTGAAGTTAACAATGTTAACACCACCACGGATAAAGCTGTCTTTTTTGAGTTCTTCCTTGTTATTATGGTTGTAATTGTGACTAGTGACTCCAGAGTAATACTGATACATATGCTTTTCAGCCATATTAACCAGTGCCAAGCTCTATGAAACCACTTCGATTAGGTTCGCTTAAAACTTAATCTCATATAGTTGTATTTAGCCATGTTTCTGCATGTCTTCTACCCGCTTGACTCTGCTTTCCTAATTCCTAGTTGAAGATGATTATATGTTGATGAGTTTGCTTCTTTATGACTTATTAACATAACCGTATTTGTGTTCGTATCTGTATTACCCAATCAGCTCAACTCTCACCTGCAACAAGCAGATTTATATAAGCGTGAAAGGATGCTGAGGATAATTAAAGCAATGCTTAAGGAGATCATACCAACCCAAGAGACTTGCAGGAGCGAGAAATTACTTTTCTCTGAGGAGTAGATTCTAAATTTTGTAAATAGATATAGACCTTGGATATTGTCGCTGCAGCCAGAACATGCTCCCCCACATGCTATGCTCGCTCTCCTTGCCCCAGTGATAAGAATCAACTTCTTGAGAAAATTTTTGGCGTGTAGAAAAGTGTTTTCTAAAAAAAAATGTGAAACGTACCTAAAAAGAAATTGAGATAGGTGCTTTTCTCATTGCAACTGGTTTAGTCTAGGAAAAGCCACAGTGGTCTTTCAGTGGAGTAAAGCCAATAATAGCATGACAAGTAACTTCTATGTAGTTGTGTTATATGATGCGTCGTAAGGGTGAGCAAAACTGAACCAAAATTGTAAATCAAATGAAATTTTTGTTATTTGATTCGGTTTATTTAATTTTTCAGTTTGATTCTTTTTTTTTTAAATATTTCAATTCAATTTGGTTAGTAAGATTTAAAATTGAATAGACCAAATCAACCGAATTATCTCATATATATATATATATATAATTTATTAATTTAAAAATTATATTTAGCTTATTAATTACTTTATTTTGTTTTATTCTTTTAAA